AACCTTACTTGACCGTTTATCAACGGCAGTGGCGAAGCGAGGTCGGGTGTCACCCGGTGCGGCACTTAATGTTGTCACCCCCCAGAGGCGTAGCGACCCTTTGACAAATTTTCAAATGTTCGATTTGCACCCCCCCCTCAAAATTTCGATTTTACACCCCCCCCCCCCCTAAAGTTTTTCTATATATTTTGCTATTTTTTTGCCTTGGTGTCACATCCCCTAAATGGTGTCACCCCCCGTACCTCCCCCCCCTCGCTACGCCTCTGATCAACGGGGCTATACAGTGGCATGTAATTCTTTCCATAGTCTTTCCATTTGGTATGGCTAAGGTGAAAATAAGAATTTATAGTAGCTCCAATAAACAGTTTATTTCAGGTTTAGTGCTTCGGATTAGTCCCCCATCCCTGAAGCACGTCCATACTTTTATCAGTGTTCGCCCCCCAGAAAAATTTAATTCGCCTCCCAACCTCCTCCTCCCCCCCCCCCCCTCCCCTAACGAGAAAAATTCCAAAATAAACACTCTTCCCTAATATCTAATACTAAATAAATTAATTATAATATATATTTAGTTACCTCTAATTTTAATATTTTAATAATTAGATCTAAAATAATAGTTAAATTAATTTAAAAATCAAAGCAAATTACTTCTAATTTTATCTTGGCTAATTATAATTTTAACTGCATTAATTATACTGTATACTTAATTAATTATAAAATAATCTAAAATTAATTATTACCAGTTAATATTTTTAAAGTGAAACCACTAAGCCCACCAATTAATTTCATAGACAGTATGCTGAAATTTTATATTATTTATAATAGTTATTCAAACAACACATTAGCCTTAATAAAAATTAACTTTTGATTTATTTTATCAACGGATCATGCATATAACACCAAAGGGTCACGTCTTTTATCTTTATATATGGTAGGTTTATGATATAAGAATAGATTTTTCAATAATGTCGTGTTGTTTTTTGTTTTTAATATTTCTAAGAATGAAATAGATATTTTCAATTAAAATCCCATTATAAATTTCAGCAATTCATTTGATAAATTTGTAACAAATAAAATAATAATAATTAATATAATTGTTGAACATACATTATGAACATAATGGTGGTTTACCAGATAAAACAGTCCAGCAAATAGTTAAACGTGACTGTACAAATGTTATTAATCTGCTGGTCTGTACAGCTAGTGTGTACTAGAGAGGACAGGATATCTGCTATGTGTACGTCTATTTTTTAGAGTGTTCACTTTTTTAACCAGGTTTTCCTTATACAGCACGAAAGTGACATCACAGGATAGACATCCTTTATAATATATTACCGTGCATTTACAAAACAACTTAATGCACTTACTTTATTGCAGTGGCGTAGGCAGGGGGGGTTAGGGGGGTGTCAACCCCCCCATAGACCCCTCGGTATATATATATATATAAAGTATGAGGGGGGTGCAAATCGAAAGTTTAAGTCGAATGTGAGTCACCAGGGAGTGGTTGTGTGTGTTGTGTGCTTAAGTAGACACGACACGATCTGGAAAATTTAAAATAAGACAGTTGTGATATAAATTATTCTAATATTTGAATTAGAATTATTAGTTTCAAAATTTATTTTTATTTATCTAAGAATGTTGAAGACGGAGTGGTCTGGCGGTAGAGAGCTGGACTGCTAACCCGTAAGTCTAGTTCGAATCCGGGTTCAAGTCAGTAGACCGTCCCTGAGTCCACCCAACTCTGATGGGTACCCTACTCACGTTAGGGAAAGTAAAGGCGGCTGGGCATAGTGCTGACCACACTATCTCTTCATATGCCGAGGTCACAGACACAAGTGAAAAGTGAAATCTACTTCACTTGCCTCATAGACCGTCAGGTTTGAAAGGGGAAACCCAGTAGCGTAGCGAGGGGGGGGGGGGGGGGGGCGGGGGGGGGCATATGTCCCCGGGCGCCGAGCTTAGGGGGCGCCAAAATGGGTTGGAAAAATAAACTGAAAGGTTGAAGGGGGGTGCTAATTGAAAGTTTGAGGGGGGGGGTGCAAATCAAAATCTCGAGGGGGTGCAAATCAAAACTTTGAGAGGGGGGGGGGTGCAAATCGAAATCTCGACGGGGGGTGCAAATCGAAAAGTTTGTCCCCGGGCGCCGGGAAGGGTCGCTACGCCTCTGGGGAAACCGTACTTCTTTTTACTTTCACGCATATTTAATAATGTAGTTGACCACACAAACAATACGTAGAAGCAATGTGTATTTTTAAACAATACATGTTAATTTAAGTTAATTAGAATTCAGTTCCCTAAGGAATAAGTATTGAGGGGAAAAACGTTTTCCGAGTAGCCACTTCGAAATTAAAAACGCATCTTCTCCAGATAGGCTGTTTTGACTGCTGGGAACTATTGTACACCGCCATTGTTTACTTTCAGTAGGGTGGAACAATTTAACAACACTGAGGAGTTTGTTTTTTACAACTTGCTTTAATTTAATTATTGTAATTTTATTAATTTATCTGATTCAGACTCAAAATGTCGAGTTTAGTCTCAGTGTAGTCTGAGTGTAGGTAAACTAGAGGTTAGTAAGGTGAATAGGTGAGCCTAACCCTTGATTTAAAATTAAATTTTATTAGTAGGTAGTAGGTGGTAGGCTGGTACCACTGGTTACGGTAGGCATAGCTCAGCTAGTACTGACTAGTAGTACTAGTAGCTAGCTTAGCTAGGCCTAAAAAACAGTTTAGTAAAGTTTAGTTAGGCTAAACTTTAGTAAACTACTAACTAATCTAATCTATCATTTTAAAAGTTTTAGAGGTAGGCCTACGTAAAATCGCCAGCGACTAGTATTATAGTAATGTGAAAAACAGGTGACTCCTTAAATTTTACGAAGTGACTACGCGTCTCGCAAAGCGTGACCCCTAAAGAATATACTACCCGTCTCGCAGGTTTGATTTGCCATCTTCAATGTAAAAATGCTTACTTTTAATTCTGTTATCACATTCGCTGTGGTTGAGTCAACAGTGTGCCAGCAGTAGTCTGAAGTTCATAGACCCTGAGTTCAGAGTTCGAACCCGGGGTTAGCTCGGCCGGTACTCGTTTATTTTTTTTACATTTATTTTTTTTCATATTGAAAATATGACGTAGACTATGATTTTATTTTTTTAAATAAAATTTCCAAACATGGTCACTGTCGTGATTGCTTGCCTTACGTTTACTATCCCATGAGTGGAAAATCCCACCACGGCCCACGGTCGGCGAGGTCACTGTGAGTTCAGCAGGCCTAAAGCATACGTCATAGACGTTCACACGAGATCGTCTGTCTTTACCTCTCTCTTCCTCCCACCCCCCCCCCTCCTCCCCCTCAATTGAATTTTTTTTAAGTTCACGTAGGATAAATAATATAGACTTAGGACTTAGATCTACTACCACGCATGCTAGATAGCTAGGCCTAAAGGTTAAAGGACAGTTTGATTTAGCTAGGTTGCTGACTAGATCTATCATCTGACCCATCTGACCTCACAAACTTTCCTTGACACTACAACACTGTACTGTTTTTTTTACAAGTACTAGACTCTTAGGTGTTGAAATAATATAGAGATCTAAATAGACTTAAGCTCGATTTTGGATTTAGATCTATGTCAATATTAAATTGTTACTACGAAAAAAAAATCGGGCAGTCCTGATGTCTGTTTTTTTTAGATCGCGTGCCACCTAAGGTAAAGATTAAGCGTAACGCGGAGCGAACTGCGCAAAGACGGCCTTACGCGTAACGCGGAGCAAACCGCGCAAATGCGGCCTAAATTTTAATAATTATTTCACATTTTGATGAGGATTTATGTTTTGAACAATTCAAAATTTTTTCCTTGTTTCATTTATGTAGATTCTAGATTCTACCTGTTTTTAAACAATGGAATTAAAACTTTTCAGTAATAAATGAAGACTAGTCATTTTTCCAACAGATGCAACCATGCTCATACTACAGCAGCCATCTTGTTTATTTTTTTTTTATTGTAAACTTATAGTGCGAGATTCAGGGGAAGCCACTCTAACTTATAGATGACTGCTTTTTATATAGCAAATCCGGCTCGCAAACACTGCTGTTTAAAGTTAATTTCTTGCCTATATTGATATATTTATTATTTAGCCATTGATTTAGGTTTATTTTTCATTTCATTTATCTATAATATTTTACACAAATACTTCTATTAAAGCTTGATAATGAGGTAACTTTTTTCATACATTACTAGCCGTGGGCGATTTTACGTACCTAAAACGATAGATTACCTTTTATTAATCTAACCGATCTAAAATAAAAATATTAAAAACAAGATTAATGGCGCCTAAGTCCTAAGCTAACCAACACCTGGCCTAGATAGGCCTATAATTTAAATGTATGCCATATATGCATACATGTATGTGCACAAGATTTAATCACTACAGACTTAACTGTAAGGATACTTATCTATAGTTTTTTAATAATACAGTTGTATGTAGCATTGTTTTCTCTATAGTTGGCATGTTTACGACATGGTGTCACCTCCACCCTCTTGTCATAATTGTCAATTTGTACTTTAAAGACTAGGCCTATTTAACTTTAATTAATATGTAATGGAACTGGCAAAAAACATTGTTCTTCTGAACATTTTGCAATTTTTTTGCCATGGTGTCACCCCCCTAAATGGTGTCACCCTGTGTGGTCCGCACCCCCTGCTCTACCCTCGCTACGCCTCTGCATATAATACGGGCTATGGGTAAAAGGAAAAATTAGACATTCATTAGAAGGCTTGACTTTACTCAAGCCCTAACCCAAACATAAGTATAAAAGTTAGAGTTAGCTTGAATGATAGGATTTTGTTCAGGGGATAATTGACCTGTGTAGAAAAGACTAGTTGTCTTGCTTCTTGTTATTAACCATACTTGTATGAATTTTAAGATAATAATGTCAATGGCTAATTTAACAATGAATACCATTTAACATGTTTTAAATTCTTTGAAATAACATTCTATTCATCAGCTTAACCAAGATGGCTCCAAACATCTCCATAGGACAGCAGAAGCTAGTTATCTTAGAGGAAGAGGAAATTCTCCAGTATGTCCACCCATCGCTTCTAAAAGTGGACTATGCAAGCAGAAAAGTGCAGGGTGTTATTATTATTGGAACATTTATCATTGTTTTGGCCCTCTTTTTTGGGTCCATGTTGTTCTGCAATATGTTCTCAGCCTTTCGCTCGCTAGTGTCCAAACAAAAAGTGTTTATGAGCCTGGCCATAGTGCGGGCTGTGTACGGTGTGTTTTGTATCGTAATAGGATGTTATTTTATTTTTAAAACAACATCTCTGGATAGGGATATTGTGTTTGGGAAGAATGCTACCAGCACTGTTGCTATGTGTGTGACTGTAGGGTTTTTTTTGTTTGAGCTTTCCGCTGTGGTTTTGTCCGACCTGGTGTATAAAACATTTTCCAAAATGTTGATAATGCATCACAGCTTAGCTCTTATTGCCTTCACCCTAGCTGTAGTTTACGAATCAAATTATGCTATTGGCTGTAAAGGTTTGATTCTTGAAATGAGCACCCCATTTTCATGTATATGCTACTTACTTCTTAAAGCGGGTATGGAAAGCAGTAAACTATGGACTATAAATCAGTGTGTCCTCATACACACCTTCCACCTTCGGAGCGTGGTTGAGTGCCACCTATGGTACGTCGGTTACCAAAACTGGACGGAAATCTATGCCCGTATGCCCCTCCCTATTTTTGTGATGATGTACACTAACCTGACCCTGGCTACCTTTATCATGACCCCGTACTGGGGCTACAGAAAAACGCAGCAGCTCTTCAACCCCGTAGATTGGAACTTTCAGGAATCCAGAAACACCGACAGCATCTCAAATGGCAGTGTTAAGAAAGATGACTGAATCATTTTCTTCAACTCACAAACCTCCATACACATCTGATTGTGAATAAATCTATTCCATATGCATTATAAATACTCAGTTGAAAAAGTAACTTTTACTTATGTTTCTAAATTTATTTATTTTTTTTTAACCAAAAAAAACTTGTTTTGCAATTTATTTATTTCAATATGTTATCAAATAAGAATGTGGTTTTATATAATGATGGATGAGTGTCTGAGTTATCAAGGTAATTGTGATTTACTAATTAGCAATATTCATGCAATCAAAATTACTTTTTAAGCAATACATTAATAAATTATAAGTTGTAACAAATTAAGCAAATATTTATTTTGCTAAATATTTTTATTATAATTTTTAAAGCTATTATAAATTATTCTTGTAATACTCATAATTTGAATCTCATTATGGAAAACTTATTATTAGGACTTTTATTCATTTGTTTTATTATTTTTTGTCAAATTGTTAATGCACAATAATGACTTAACACTATAGCTACTGATATCCTCAGTTAAATAATCTGGTACATTTTTAGTGTATATATGTGTATATTACTAACTTTGTAAATTTGTTAATTAGCTCATATTTTATTAGGTAGTTGAATGTTAATGAAAAAGTGCAATCAGTGTTCACAATAAAATCTCTTTTATTTTTTTCAAACTAGTTTAAATTTGAAATATTTACAAAATCTGCCAACTGAAAATATTTTGGGTATTTTCTTTCAATTATCTTTTAAGAATCAAACATTGTAACTTGTTGTATTTAGTTTTTGTTGCAATCTATAAAATTTTGCTAATCAAAATATGTCATTATTTTTTTAAATATATTCAACATTTTAAATGCAATGGCGACATATGTTTTAGAATTGACACTGCATTATAATTGTATACAAATTATAACTGTACACAATTATGTGTGTCCTTAACCAATTTTTTTTTAATGTAAAAAAGGGAGTGGTTCAAAATAGTTTGTGTACATTTGTTTCATAATCTTTTTAATGTGTGAATTACGATGCATTGAGATAATAATTCATGACATGTATGATTGATGGGTAAGTGTAGGAGTAAAGACTTCATGAATCGTTTCATCAGTAACGGGTAGAAGGGAATACTCCAGTGTCTTGTATTTTTTGTGGGTGTGGGGTATGAGTTTATGACTGTGTGTGGTGTACAGTATTGGATTCACTCTTTGTAACAAGTTATCAAACTTTATAATGTGTAGCAATGTGGCAGTGGGGATTAAATGTATTAGCCATTTTTTAGAACTAACCTTTAAATAAGTAATTAATTAAGTTATTAAATAAGCTATTAAGTAAGTAATTAAAACTTTTTTTTTTATATCTAACAGTTTTGAGTTGTTTAGGATACATGGAAGATCTAAATGTGAACACGGTAATTTTGTTACATAAAAACATGATTTTATTGATATATGTCTGAGCATTGATAATCAGAATTATGTCAGGGTATTATAAATGATAATGTAAGGGTAATAAATAAACATTCATGACAACATATTAGATGATTTTAAGTATATATTTTTACACCTACACATATTTCTATACATACACTTATATCTAAACATATACCTAATCTATCCCTTACATATCCTTGAAATAAATCCCACCGAATCTCCTGCTTGTCACAGACCTTCAGAAAACTGACCTCATCTTTTCCAAGAATATGATGCTAATAATGGACTCTAAAAAATACACCTTTTCAAATTAACATACCCCTAACTTTTAATTTTTTAATTTAACACAAGCTAAATGCATATTAAATTTACAACACTTGACTAAAGTTTTGACCTACATTAACACTTAATTCAACTCAAATTCCAATCTACCCTTAGCTGTTATGCACATTCAATCGAATAATTAAAGTATATTACAAATACACAAAGCGATAAAATTGCCACAAATTACCTTCCTAAGTTTTTAACTCAACTAATAAATTAAATATATTTTTAAACAAATCGAAATTTAAGAACACTTACATAATATCATTTTATAATATCAATCTAAACTAAGTATCAAACCTATATAAAATGAACTTAACCCTACCATAACAATAAAAAACCAAATATGATGTATGGTAACACCAACCCAATTGAATTGATCTATCTCATCAAATCATATTAAACTCCATTACCAATGACCTAATAATAATAGGCAATATTGTACCGAGTGAACTCTGACAACTTATCAACATTCAGAAAGGATGTACATACAGGTATTATAAAAGTTGTATCTAATGCTAGGCCATTTTATTAAAAAATCTACCCAAAATATATCAATGAACAATCTTTTAAAAAGAAGTGTAAATGTTCTATTTTTAGTGACCAGGTGACTGGTATAATCCAGTAATAAAACAGATAGTGTTAGTTACCTCACAAGTTAAAGACAGTAACAAATACTATGGAAGTTTCTGCTGTCTTTACCTTGTGAGGTAACTAACTGTTTTATTACTAGTTGAATTAACCTCACTGCAGCTACCATTTGTATTTATCTTAGCAAGTTTAGTTTTTCCAATAGAGTGTGTAATAAGATGGGATTATCTGTGTGTGAGTGCTCGTGCTGGTGACAATCTGAAAGAGCTCAAGAGGTCAGGATGAATTAGGTGATTTAACTGCCATTAGAAGTCATAGGAAACCCCATCAAAATTAGAGAACAACATCAATCATACTTCAAATAACATATAGTGTTTAAGTTATAGATGTGTGTGTGTGGGGTAGTTAGTTCTTGATTTTGATTCGAATTACCTATGAAAAATTTTTTAAGTAGGCGAGACAACTTAGTAAAATTTATTCAATAATATATTTTACTTGTTATGTCCCCTTGACTGCAAATTTAATTTTAGAAGTCCAAGTTTCAAGTATGTCAACGTGTTTCTCATTCAAACTTTACTGGAGATAAAATGTCCTTAAGTAGTATGAATTAAATAAGTGAAGTAAACATCGACTATTAAATTGTCTGTTTATAGGGTTAGGTTCCGAAAAGTTTTTATAATTAATAAGCCTTTTTTGTATTTTTAGGGTAAATATTTGCATTCAGCAAGGGCTGTTCCGAAAATATGGTTGTCATGGCAACGGGAACATCCTTTTAAAAAAAAAAAAAATATATTGATCACAAAAAATCGATACTTCTTTTTATAAATATTTTAGGGTAAGAAAAAAGATACTAGAAATACTTTACTAAAATTCCTAAAATCGGGTATTCTGAAAAACCATGCAATTGTACAGTTTACCAATTATATATATATATATATATATATATATATATATATATATATATATATATATATATATATATATATATATATATATATATATATATATATATATATATATATATACATATATATATATATATATATATATATATATATATATACATATATATATATATATATATATATACATATATATATATATATATATATATATATATATATATATATATATATATATATATATATATATATATATATTTGTGTGTGTGTGGAGAACTTGATACGGACTTATGTATATATACATATATATATATACTGCTATCTTTACTGTTTAAAACGAATTGCAATGTTGGTATCAATATGCCGTCCTACCGTATTAATAAGATATAAACTTTAAATTGTGGTTTAAAAAAAAACTACACTTATATATCGCTTTCCTATAATCAGACTGTTCCAACTTCCAATAATACGCTTTGAATGTTCGTGGTACTTCAACTTTTAAAAAAAATTATTGATAGATTGTGTGTTCACTAAGTCAAACGCTCACTAAAGAAATGTACTTCTTATAGATATGATTGATAACATAAATACGGTGTGTGGTATTTCTCATAGCGAGGTCGGGTGTCATCCGGTGCGGCACTTAATGGTGTCATCCCCCAGAGGCGTAGCGACCCTTCCCGGGGACAAACTTTCAAATTTTCGATTCGCATCCCCCCCCCCCCGCTCAAGTTTTTCTCTATAAATTTTGCTATTTTTCGCCTTGGTGTCACCACCCCCCCCCCCCCCTAAATGGTGTCACCTGGTGCGGTCCGCACCCCCCCCCCCTCGCTACACCTCTGCTCATAGATATGATTCATAACATAAATACGAGGTACGTCACTTTGGAGTTAGAAAAATTTGGCGCAACGGCAGTAACATTTCTGTTTCAACTGCTGATTTTGTACTGGATACCTTAATTTTTAAAAATTTCTTCCACGTGAGTTTACACTACGCATATACGCGTACTTTCTGTAACTCAACAGACTCTATAGGTGTATCTTGCCGAATTGATATTCTGTACTGAACGACGCAGGTTTCTAAATCTCTTGCGTACACCAATTGCTTGATATGAAAAAATGAAAACGTGTTTTGAGAGGTTTTTTCTGTAACACTATTTTCAAATCTTTACACTTCTCCTTCTGAACTTGTTTCATCTCAACTTTAAAATGTGTTCGAAATTTTAACACCTGAAACTTCGATGATCACAAGAGGAGTTTACATCTAAAAAAAAATTCTACAACGATATGCATGATATCCTTTGTGTGCACACAACCAGAGTTTCTTCCAGGCAGAGCACCTCCCCCCTAGAAGAAAGTCTACAGCCCCCCCACCCCCACCCCCCCCCCCATCCCGAACGAAATGGATTTTATATAGAAAAAATATACTTTTAACAGTCCCATTCTCCCCCCCCCCCCCCCCCGCCCCGGAATGTTTTGTCTGCCACCTCCCCCCCCCAAAAAAAAACTTCAAGTGCCCCCCCCCCCCACACACACACACCGTATAAAATGTCTGGAAGAAACATTGCACGCAACTGTGCTATACGTCTCAATTTGAATAGCTTCATGCTGTCCTTTTTACAAGCATCACATTAAAGTAGAGGACATTATAACATTCATTATGTGTGGAGCGCATAAATATAAACATAAAAAAAATAATCTTTCTATGTTTGGCCTATTTAAAAAACAAATTTCGAATAGTATCTTTAAAAAAAAACACTGACTAAATCATTACAACTTGTGCTAGCAATCCCTTCATGCCAAATGAAACAATATCATTACTTTATACTCGTCTCAGAAGCTGCTAAGTTAAACTGCAAATT